CACATGGACATGCGACACTCGTTGTAGCCCGACCCGCCCACCCGCCCCACCCGCCCACCCACAGCTACTGCTGGATGGATGGTATGTAATGTCCGTCTGTCTGGGTGTGTCCTGTGTATGCGGCCATGGCACACACACACACACACGCAGACGACAGACACGCACGAGACATCATGGAGACGACCAACTACAGGAATGTCCACGTGAATAATACATGACTTAAAACGAACCAACGAACGAACGACCATCTGTATACGTGTGTCTATGGTGCACACGCAGCATGAACAGGTACATGCAACCCGGGCCCATCGACGATACCCCCCGACATCCCCCTCTCTCCCTCTCCCCCAGCAACGGTCAGCCGCTTGCAGGCTGTCATTTTTTGTCCGGTGTGAAAGGAAGAACAGAACACGGCTATCGATCGACACACAGACAGACAGATGAACCAGCGACATCGACAAGACCAGGTAGGGACACGACAACCAACACAACACAGACACAACTGTACATAACCGACTGAAGGCATTGTTGAAACATCACTGACGACTGCGAGTGGGCACACATGATGATACGCACCAAAAATGGGCGTATATCTTCCATGCGACACTCGCTCTGTGTGTGTGATTGTGTATATGGACAAGACAAGCATTGGGCGATGATGAATAAAAGGGCAACAACACGTCTTCCTGCCACATTCGTGTAATTACGACAATGACGCCATCGACCGATCGACAAACAGACAGACAGATGAACGAGCGAACGAGCAACACAACCAGACAGACAGACAGACAGGCAATTGGACACTGCGTACGCTACAATGAGTGGAACTCAGTGCAGTCAGCAGCAGGCATGCATGCGGCAGGCAGCCAGGGGACGCAGGCGAAAAAGTGCATACGAGCCCTTGGCTGCGCCACCTTTGTTCTCATCTCATCTCACCCCATCTCATCTCATCTCATCTCAACATGCACCACGGACATCATGAATGAATGAAAGTGGGCAAAATCGCCACGATCCACATAATAATAATGAAGACGCACATGCACACACCCACATGCATCACACACATCCACACATCCATGTATTCACCAACACGCACCAGGCAGCAGCAGCAGAGCAGTGGAGACGGACCATCCCTCTCTCTGTCCCTCTCTCTGTCTGTGGTCGATTTGTCGTCAATCAGTCACACGTCGGTGTCGTCCGAGTACTTGCCCGACTTGGTGGGCGAGCCGGGAAGAGGCGGTGAGTCGCCCGCAAAAGTAGACGGCTGCATCACACACCACACACCACACCACACCAGACCAGACACCCAGAGAGAGAACACATGTGTGTCTGTGTCTGTGTCTGTGTGCGAGTGGGCTTCATACTCACCGACATGCCGCCCGCCAGCTCCTTCTCTTCGCCGGGCGGCTTCATCTCATCCTGTCAGCCAACACACACAGAATGCCACACACACACACACACGTGACCGCGGAGCTGTGCTTACGGTGGGTGTCCTCCATCGCTTGAGGAAACCGCCCAGGCAGTCGCCCTTGGCGCAAGAGCGCTCAAACAGCGAGATGGTGACGATCAGGAAGAGCGAGAAGGCGGGGGCTATCAGGCTGTCCACACCTGACCGATCGAGTGATGCAGCAGCGAGACACCTATGGATGTGTGTCTGTGTGGTTGGGGTGTGTGTGTCTTTGTGATACCGCTCCAATCTTGGAGTCTCGGCTGCACGCACTGGGCAACGTCTTCAACTGATGGGCCTGCTCACACACACGCAGACACACACACACACAGATCAGATAGGTATGTGTGCAGGTGGATTGGATTCTTTCCTGAAGACATCTCACCGTATGCTTTGGCCGTGGTCGGGCCCAGCAGCACCAGTGACCCGTCCTGAGACACCACACACACACACACACACACACAGATGCAGGTGTCCTTATGTCTCTGTGCCTCTCTCTGTCTCAGTGCTTACCTTGGGCAGTGCGAACTGCAGGATGCCGCGCAGCACACTGCCGCCGACGATTGAGGCGATCTGCCATCCATCCATCCATCCGTCCACATGGACACATGTTGTATGTGAAGGCATCCAAGACCCCCAGGCATTGCACGTACCGCAGCGTTAGGCGTAGTCTTCTTCCAGTAGACGCCGGCGAACAGCGGCACCACCGTGCCCGCAAACACGCAGTCAAAAGCCACGATCAGCAGGGCACTGATCCCCACACACAGCAAACACAAGAACAACACAACACACATACAGCCATGGAGACGTGTGTGTGGGTGGGTGGGAGGACTGAAGGGGTCCCGTCCAGTCACCCTGGGTCGGCATTGAATGTGGCCACCAGGGCAGCGACGACCGTCCAGATGATGGTGGTCACTCGCGTCAGCGTCAGCAGGTTCTTGGAGTCACCGAACCACCCACCGAGCTTCCTGCATCCCGATACACATAACATACGTGTGTGTGCCTTGTGCCTCTCTCTCTCTGTGTGTGTATGGTTGCCTAGCGAGATTGTGCGATGCGACAGTGGAGAGGGCGAGGATGGCGCCGTCCGCAGTGGACATGGATGCAGCGACGATGGAGATCATCATCCAGGCTCCTGTTGACACACACACACATGAATGGATGGATGGATGAGTGTGTGGATGGTTTGTGTGTGTGTGTGTGTGTGCTGACCGAGGAAAGGCGGGAACTCATTGGTGAACATCTTCAGCGGGCCATTCTGCACACAAAGGCACGCTCACACACATGCCACACACGCGCAAAGATGGATCGCATTTACCGGATCAAACACCCACTCGGCGCAGGAAGCAGCCCCTTTCTGCACACCATCCATCCACACACACACACACAGATTTGTTGTGCGCCACCTGCGTGTGCATTGCATTCAGAGACAGGTCAGTGTTTTTACCGTGATGGTGCCGTCAGGGTTCAGCAGCTCCAGGTCAGTGGAGCACGAGTCCACACGGAACTCTGCACACACCACACACAGGCATTGCTCATCATCCCGCGTGTGTGTGGGCATACTCGCTCAGTGCACTCGCGCACCAGCATAGGGCGACTGTGGTCCATAGAGTTTCCGCGCTGTGCCGCCGACGAACGACCAGAACAGTCCCAACACGATCGTCGCGATGCCGGCAAGAATGTTGCCCCTGCAGAGACGCACACACACATAACACAACCACACACAGAGAGAGAGAGAGAGAGATGGTCAGATGGATCGCTCCTAGTCTAGCTGACAGATTCAGACAGACGGTCTCTTCACACACGTACCATTTCGCGACTTGCCAGGACCTTGAGGCAAATGTGCGGGCCTGCAACCACAACCACACACACACACACAACCACACACACAAACAGGGGCACATAGCGCGTGCATCATTCTGGTGTGTGTACCTGGAAGTCGAGGGCCATGAGGTTGCCGAAGGCCAGCACGAAGATGGTGCTCCAGTTGAACATGATGGCGTTGGGGAAGGGCGCGTAAGCGTCTCCGTCTCTCATTCCGCCCCACACGATGGGGGTGTCGCCGTAAGGATACGCGGGGCCCTTGTCAGGGCCTACATGGGCACACACACAGAGAGAGAGAGGGGTATGAATCGGCCTGTTGGTTGTGTGTGCAGGTGTCTGTCTGCTTACTTGCGCCGAAGTGGACGAAGGCATAGATGGAGCCCACAAGGATGCCCGTCCACCCAAGGCCGGCTTGGAGCACATCCGTGTAGGCGACGCTGAAGAGACCGCCTGCAGCAGTGTAGGCCCAGATGGCTATGGCGGTGATCCAGGTGGCGCTGTCCTGGTCGATGTTGAACAGAAAACCCAACAAGGTCGACGTACCTGCACACACACACACACACATGCCGAGAGCTGGCGGGGTGGCGGGCTGGTACGCGCCGCCTGGCTTACCCACGAAGTTGCCGGCCAGGAGGAAGATGAAGCTGACCATGCACAGAATGCACGCGCACACCTCAGCAATATAGCCATACTGACCACACACACAGACACACACACACAGGTGGTCATCGCCATACTGACACCCAGACAACGGTGCGAATCGCATGGACACACACCTAGCTAGCACACGAATTTGTTTTACTTTTCTCTTGAAGAAGTCGGGGAGAGTGAGGAGGTTCATCTGGTGGAGGGGCTTGGCCAGGAAGAACCCGTTCATGAAGAGACAACACGCCTGCAAACACAAGAGGACACACACACACAAACGTTCCTACACCCTTGCCCGTGTCTGTGTGGGTGTCATGACATCCACACGAACCAGTCCGATTGGCAGCACAGCCCCGTCCCAGAAGTGGAACTTATACGACTGACCAACCACAGACACACACATCATACAGGCGTCAGGCGAACCCATTGGTCGGCCGTCCCATCCCACAGATGCCGGCCGCGTGTGTGGCGCGGCGCGTACCAGTATGACATTGCCGAGGGCCCCAGAAGAGTCCAGTGACTGCGAGGCCAGCGTCATGGTGACCACGAACCTGACACACAGACACACACACATACAGACACAGCCAGCCAGATGGACACACACATCAGGACCCATGCGTCGCGTGTGTGTGTGTGTGACTCACAGAGGGAGAGATCGGCCGCAGACGAAGAAGTTCTCCGGGTCTGCCAAACAATAATCGAAGAAGCAGATGACGTTGTGGGATGGCATCTCTCTCTGGGCGTGGCGTCTGCCCCTGCACCCATCTGTGTGTGTGTGTCTGTCTAACCTCCCCTGACGCGCAGAATGGTGAGCAGCCCAATGATGAGGAAGAGCGCCATGAAGCACACGACGGGCACGCCATAAGTCACTGCCAGATCTGCACACGGCACAACACACACGCATTCATGGGCATCGTGGATCTATCAATTGCCTTTCTCTCTGTCACTGACTGACCGTAGGCTGATGTGGGGAACGCCTGTGGGCAGGGGATGCCTGCACAACACCACACACACACAGACACACATGGATGGATCCGTCCAGCATCTGCCGCCGCTTCTCAGGTCACTCTCACGCAGTCAGTCACTGACTCACTGACTCACTAACCGCATTGTGTGAACTGGTCCTCGCAGCCAGAGCCGGCTATCGCACACGTGCACGCGTCAGCCATCCTTGTGGTCCTCTTCGCGCGGCCGAGGTGGCGAGATCTTCAGAGTTTAGGGTTGAGGGTTTGGTACCCTGAACCCTGCAGCGGGGCTCGTTTCGTGTCATTTCGTCGCTTCACTGAATGAACCAGGGTCCTGCTTTTGTCTTGTCCCGCCCATCCATCAGTAGTCGACCCCTCCAGCCGGCCAGCCAGCCACACTGTGTATTAGGGTTTAGAGTCGGGTGCCGGCCTGGTCGTGGAGAATGGGCAGCATCTTCCTCAAAACAGGCACACACAGACAGAGAGAGATGTCAGCTGGGGAGCTTCTGGTTGGTTCTCGCTTGTGCTCTCAGGCACTCACAAACCCTACACCCTAAACCCTAATGGGGAGCGGTTTCACGAAATGTCCTAAGTGGCTCGAAAGCCTGTCTGAACCCTAATGCTTTCGCCTCGGAGGCTTTCTCCCCTTTCGACTCGTTAGCGACATGGAGTCGGTCGCCGAGGGCAGCATTTTGACGGTCGGCACAAGTTTGGTCACTTTGGTGGCAGTCTGCTGTCTCAGCGTGGTGTTCCTGCAACTGAGGCGCAAGCAGCAGCATCAGCCGGCAGACGAGACGCGCAGCAGCAACAGCGGCGATGATGTCCAACCGGTACTCGCCTGCATCCAGAACCGTCGCTCGGTATTCCCTCGGCATTACGTCAACGAGGCGGTGTCTGCACAGCAGATGGAGCGTTTGCTGGAGGCAGCCATGTGTGCGCCGTTCCATGGGCCTGTGCCTCCCTGGCGCTTCGTGGTGCTCGGCCGCAAGGGCATGCTGGAGCTGCAGCACCTCACCCTGGCCTACTACGACCAGCATTGGCGCGGCGTTGGGATTGCTGAGACGGAGGAGCAGTATGGGCAATGGCGGCAGGTCAGGGAGCGGGAGGTCGACGGTCGCTGGGGATCGGTTTCCTTCATGGTGGCGATTGTGATGCGCCGGCAAGCTGGCTCGAAGAGGATGCCCGAATGGGAGGAAGCGGCTGCGACCGCCTGTGCGGTGCAGAACATGCATTTGCAGGTGTGTTCATGAGGACGCCGAATGAACGAATGAATGAATGAATGATATGTATTTGCAGGCTTCAACCGAGCGTGATTTGGGTTGTTATTGGAGCTCGTGGTTTTCTTCGTTTCGGGATTCCCCCGAGATGGCACAGTTTCTTGAGATGCAGCCGGAGGACAAGTGCTTTGGCTTCTTCATCGTCGCCAAGTGTTTGGAGGAAGCAACTGGGAAGAAGCGTCGAAAGCGAGAGATGCAAAGTCATGTGGAGTGGCGAGAGTGAATCGGGGGTTTGTTGCAGGGTGCATGAGATGACCTGCGGCTCATTATGTGTGAGCCGCCATCCTGACGGGGCGCTGGATGGGGACACTCTCTCTGTCTACCTCTCTGTGTATGTGTGAGCCACCATCCTGACGGGGCGCTGGATGGGGTCACTCGCTCTCTCTACCTCTCTGTGTATGTGTGAGCCACCATCCTGACGGGGCGCTGGATGGGGTCACTCGCTCTCTCTCCCTCTCTGTGTATGTGTGAGCCACCATCCTGACGGGGCGCTGGATGGGGTCACTGGTCGTGCGGCAGGCGATGTGGTCCGGTGCGTGCGTGTGTGGTGTGCCTATGTCTTGCTCTGTGTCTCTATTCGCTGCCCCTCCCAAGTAATGCATAGGTCAGAGGAAGTTCTATATGCTCCTACAGCTGCCTGCGTCAGTGATGTGTGTGCCCATGACTGTTGCTGTGGACCGCCTTTTGCTTGGCCCTGCCTTTTAAACCCTAACCCAAATTGCTGAGGATCCCTGCCTGCTGATTTCATTTCATTGCACTTCGTTGCTTCACTGAAAAAACAATGTCCTGCTTTTTTGTCTTGTCCCGCCCATCCATCCATCCATCCGTCTAGTCGACGCACTCCAGCCAGCCAGCCACACTGTGCATGACACCTTGCCACAAAGAACAAGACGCCCACCAGACAGACAATGACCCACTCACCCATTCACTCGGTCAATCACTCAATCGCATCGATGAATGCACCAGCAAAGCGGTGCATACCCACACACACGTACACCCCAAACACACTGATAGCATCCAGACCGACCCCGCCCGCCCAGCCACATCCTCACAGGCCATGACGGCCACCCGTCATGTGAGTGTGTCGATGAGGGAACTCCTCAGTGTCAGGTCGCCCATCACCTTCGACGGCTCCTGGGTCGCACCTGCACACACATAAAAGGACAGACAGCACAGCACAGCATCAGTGTGTGTGCGTGTGGGTAGCCGGGCGGATGAGCGCATTGCTCTGCTGACCTGAGAGTTTGAAGATCCGTTCGACCACCCCCAGCTCCGTTGCGGTCGTGTCCATTCCACAGAAAGCTGCCCAATCGTTGGCCACCACACCTGCACACACACGAGAGAGCACTCACTCAGTCACTCCACTATATGCACGTTTCTCTCTGTCTTTCTCTCTGTCTGTCTGTCTGTCTGTCGCACCAGCGCCGATGACGTCAGATCCTCTGTTGATGGTGCCTGCGGTGAGGGGTATCTGCAGCAGCTGAGACAACTCCTCCATGTCCTCGACCGACGTACGAGCATGCACCTACACACACACACACACACATCCATCCACACATGAATGTGCTGGTGTCATTCGTCGGTGTTGTCTTACCAGTCCGCCGAGGTTGGTGATGGCGCAGTAGCTGCCGACCAGAACGTTGCCCGCTATCGTGGCCCGGAACACCTCCACGTCAAGCGTGTCCTGCAAAATCTCCTCCGTCTGGTCACACGCACACAGGCAGATCAGATCGACAAATTCCATGCAGACCATCTCGCGTCTGTCGACTTGCTGCCGACCTGCCTGTCGAGGTCGGTGTGTACGAGTGCGACGTAGTCGTTGCAGGCGATGCAGTTGCCGAGGGCCGACAGCCTCTCCTCCACCCTCTGGATCTTGACGCTGTCTGGCAGAGCGTTGCGCAGATGCTGCAGCTCCTGGTCAGTCGTTATCGTCGGCACCAACAAGCCCTTCCTGTTGCCTACGTAGTTGGGTCACAACCACACACCACACACACGGATGGCCGTCGTGTGTGTGTGGGTGTGTGGGTGTTTCGCCTCCTTTTTTGTTTGACTGACTGACCGACAGAGACTCTGCCAATGATCCGCGTGCCGCCGATGCTGGCGTGGATGACGGGGATGTGGTCGGCGAGTTCGGCCTCGAAGACAGAGTAGAAGTTCTCCGACCCGCCGATGGCCACCAAGGCGTACGCGTTGGTCAGCTTGGCGTACACGCCGACCTCACTGCTGTTCTCGAACGCCGCTCCTGTGATTGAGAGATGGACAGACAGACAGACAGACAGACAGAGAGATGCACATTCAGGTGAGTGAGCGTGTCTGTGCTGTGTCGGGCGCCACTTACTCACTGCCATGCGATGCGACAGATGGATGGCCTGATGCTGACTGCAGGAAGGAAGCTGTGATCTGTTGAGAAAAAGGGAATTTGGAGCCTTGACGCAGACCCCAGACGATGCACTGCTGTTTTCAGGCGCCTGTTTTGCTGCTTCGCACTTTCGTTCTCTTCCAGTTTTGCCTCACCTGCGAGCTCGTAGCGCGCACGGGAGAGATCGGGAATCGCTGCATAGATTGTATTCCTGTGGCCGCACAGCACCGCATATGGGGTCTTTTTGGTCTCGCACTCTGTGGGTGCAGGAGGCAGACGAGAGAAGAGATCTTCACGTCCCGCGGAAGATCAAGCGCCAGGAGGACATCGCTGGGTTGCGGGAAGAGATTCGCGAGGAGTTCCAAATCGGCGAGCGCACGGAGGTCTTGCTGATCGACCAGCAGGGAATCGGCGGGGTTCTCGAGTCAGATAAAGTGGAGAGTGTCTTCGGCCAGCGTGGCAAGGACATCAAGGAACCGATGCCATGGCGAAGAGGTGAGCAAAAGCTCAGCAAAGCATGCGATTGTATTCTTGTCATGCTTTGTTGTGTATTTATGTAGGTCGAAAGCGTACTCTCGACGATGACGACACGACACCAGTGGCCGTCTCAAGATTATCTGTCGTCGGTGGGGTCGACGTGAACCCACGGTTTCAGCCCAAGAACACTCCCATCCCCGGCCCTATCCAACATGTCCAGCCCTTCGACGGCAACACCGAAATCGTGGAGGAGGCCAGCGATTATGTGAAGAGGATTCTCCAGCGAGTCGTCGACGAGGTCAACAAGGTTCGAGAGGACAAATTGGTGGTCGTCGAGTGTAAGACAAGATACTTTGAGTCGGCCTCATCGGTCCCAACACGGAAGGACGGCTGGCGGTATCTGAAGGGGAGCCCAGGAGATTTGGCGATTGTGCCCATCAGCGCCAAAGACCAGCACCACGAGGCATTCGCCACGAGCCAGGCAGTGGTTTGTGAGGCGAAGGCAGGGAAGTATACTGGGGTATCGCTGTCAGCATTTGCAAAGCAGCTCCATGGCGAGATGGTCCTTGTTAGAACATGGAAGCGGCACTCAGAACAGGAGCTGGAGGAAATTGGTGATGCAGTTGGTGTTTTGTGCAATGGCACGGAGGCCTTCGTGTACGAGTTCTTTGCCGGCTATGAGAAGACAGACTTAGGTATAGATGGGAGCCAGTCACTGACTGTGACTGATCTTGCGAATTTCTTGTTGGCTCTTTGAGCGAATGGAGCTTGTCGAGAGAGATGGATAGAGAGGAAGATGTGGCGCGGGCTGAGAGAACTCGTGATCGCGCTGCTAAGAAAAGTCGACACGATGAGGAGACGGCTCTTTTTGCAGAGAGATTCATGGATGAAGAAGAGAGTTGTATAGACCGTTGGTGTGTAAACACCTGACTTGTGCCTGGATGTAGGATGCATGAATTGAAATATTGCGTTTGGATGTGAGCGGACGAGGGCGCGCAATGGAAATTGAGATAGATTCGCTGCATCTATTTGTCGTGCTTGTTTTAGGTGTCTATCCAGGTGCCTGTTGATGCTGGCGGCAGGAGCAAGCGCGTGTGTCTAGCTATCAGCCCGTAGCAAAGGTACATCAACCACATATGGGTGAAAGTGCTGAGAGTCCCATGCTGTGCTGTGGGGTGCAGACACTTGACAATGCGCGTTTGTGACTGTGTTGTGTAGTGCCCTCAGGTGGGTCGGTTGATGTGTGCGGTGGTGCAGCAGCGACACGAAGGCCGATGAAGACGCCAAAGGTGACACAGAGAAATGACAGCCACCACCATGACTGATCTTCCCTGTGTGCACGTGTCTGTGTGCATCAGAGATACGGCCGTCCGAGTCTGTTGGTCTGCCAGAGGACGTCTTCAGCCACATGGCCTCCTTCGTCACTACCAAGACGGCTATTTGTCTGGCCAAGGTCAACAAGGATACCCGCCAGAAGGCCACCCCACCAGACTCTCGGCATGTCCCGACACTTCACCATGACGAGCGACGAGGAAGAGACCTACAGAAAGGTCAAGGGCGTCAGGAAGATGCAGCACATGGTGAGAAGCCTGGGGTGGGAGGGACATATACGCAGGGACGGGAAGCTTTCTTGCCTGTGTGTCGGTGCAGGGGAAGATTCAGACCGCCCACATCGAGAGCTCCTGTGTGCCCGCGTGTGTGTCGAGGTGCCTGGAGGCGTCGAGGCTGACACTCACCCGGCTGACCGTGATAGCCCCTGACCGTCCGCGCTCTGCCCCGCCGGCCCCCATCGATATGCGCCGGCCTGCCCTGCCCACACACTTCCCACACATCGCACACATGACCATCCAGTCCGTTGCGTGCCTCAGCCACATCAGGTGCGTATCAGGCGTGTGTGTGTGGGTCTTTCGGAACACCGTCGCTTTTTCTTGCTATGTGAATGCATTCAGGTATTGTCGATGGAGTTTTCCTTACATGAGGGCTCTGCAAGTGGGCAGCATCGACGAGTCGGCCTACCCCAAGACGGAGCTGCTCGACGCGATGCCGATAATCGAGCGGCTCGAGGACGCCTTCTAGTTGACCGACGACGACATCGCCCTTCTCGGGGGCCGCCCTCACCTCCACCACTGTTACCGGCCTGCAATCCCACATGGACGACTATGACTCCAGCCACAGATTCGGCTGTGAGAAGGAGGTCACGAGGGCCGTCAATGCCAACTGGAACAGACCGCGAAACAAAGGTATCCGAGCGGACAAATGACGTATCCGTGAAGTGGATGAAATGCCAGTGCCCTCCCTCCCTCGTGTGAATGGTGCAGATGTGCCCAAGAAGCTGGGGTTCGTCGTACCTGACGCCTCGATTTGGGTCTGACGCCTCGCCCGCTATGTCGATGTTGGACATTCGCTTGTTCGCGTGGCAGTGCTATGACGGGAGGGGAGTACGGCAGCGTATCCCCTCTGCAAGCGGGTGGCACGAGTACTGTCAGTGAGGCAGTGAATGGGTGAGTGAGAGGTTGGCAGGTTGTACGTACAGCGTGTCCGCGTTTCGTGCCTCCACAATCGACTGGTGCTGCTCTGTGCTCGTCTGTTTGTCTCGACGGCTTCGTTCTGCCGTCTGTCTGTCTGCCTGCCTGCCTGTCTGTCTGTCGGTCTGTCTGTCTCGGCCTTTATCCCTCGCCCTCTTGCGTCTTCCCTCGACTGACGTCCCGACGAGAAAGCGACTTAGTGGGAGAAGGGGACAAGGAAATGGATGGAGTGCGTGTTTGCTGAAGATGTGTGTGGTGTCGTCAGTGAGGCTTTGTGCAGCCGAGGGCCTCAGCTCTTTTGTGTGGGAGTGTTTCGAGAAGGTGTGAGCATACTGGTCTAGGTGTGAGCACTGGGACCTTATTTATGTGGTGTCACGTGAGTCAGTGAGACTGCGGGATGGTGCTGAGACACTTCTGAGATGGCTGTCGGTGAATGTGTGTGCGGCGAGAAAGAATTCATCACAAAGACAGCCACACCAAAGATGCATCCATCCATCCATCCGTCCGTCCGTCCGTCCATCAACATATCTGTCAGCCTCTCGGCCATCCCGGCCTGCCATCTGCTGCCGTGGCCACTTAAGAGGCAGGCAGACAAGGTACATGTGCAGCCGAGAGTAGACAGATGAACGGATCAGTCAGTCTACGGCTACGGCTAGCTTGTTGCCGAACACCACCTATGCGTCGGCCCCCATCACCTGCCGCACCACCCTCACTGTCTGGGGGAACCTGGCGGCACCCACCCTGCCGGCCACCGGGCGCTCTGTCGTGTAGAGGTGGGCGCTGGCAAGAGTGGCGTAGCTGCCGATGAAGATGTGGGCTTCGAAGGTGTGCCCACGCTGGTCGCCATGCAGCACTATCACGCGGCCGATGTTTCCTGCTGCCGGCCCGTCGCTCCTGTGGCTGGTGCTAATGGTGCGGCAGTTCCACGCCGGGGGCTGCTGCCTGGCGAGCTGCCGCTGAAGCGAGAGAGAGATGACAATGACTGAGTGCGGCAGCCTGTGAGGCTCTTGTGTGGGTGCGTTCGGCTGACTGACCAGTCGGAGGTACGCGTTCGGAATCTCGTACGCGACCTCTGACGCTCCCAGCTGCATCCTGACCAGACAGACACATCACGGCAGAGCAGTTCAGCCACTGTGTATGCGTGTGAGCGTTTTCTGTTTGTCTTTGTACTCATACAATACAAGGTCGCGAACTGAAGCGTAGTAGTGAACTGCACACATACAGACACACACGTGCTCTTTCCCGCAGCTCTTTCCCGCTTCTCCCCCCTCCCTCACTTGCTGGCATCTCACACACGGGGTTGGCCTCGTCGAATCTATCATCACGGAAGGGGCTGTTGGGCGGCAGCGTCTGCAGTCTGTGGATGGTCAGCCGATACCCATTCAGCCGCTCCTCGTCATTGATGCGCTCCAGCGTCATGCCGAGGTGGCGCTGGATGAGTGAGAGCTGCCGCATCGCCTCGCACCGGCTGTCGTAGACCGGCCGGCTGCCGACCCCCTCCACGTCAGCACTGGTCAGCTCTATCGGCAACCGCCCCTCTCCCCGCCGCTGATGCACCGCCACTCGGATGATCGGCTCCCACCCCGCCCACTCGCCGCTGTGGTCGATGAAGTACGACAGCTGCAGCAGCAGGGCGATGGACGTCAGGTCAGGAGAGAGGGCGATGATGCCCTCGAGGCCCTTGGCGGCGAGCTGCTGGTTGATTTGTGTCCTCAGGTAGGCACCAGACGCGGGATCTGACACACGCAGGTTGCCCATGCGGCATGTGCGACGGAAGCGGGCAAGGCCGATGGCCAGGTCGTTGCCGAGGAGCTGGTACAGTTCCAGCTCGACCTCCTGAGGCAGCTGGAACAGTCGAGGCTGGTCAATGTCAAGCACGGACTGTTGACCCTTGTCGTCTGACAAAAGAAGGAACATGCCCACACACATCGACGCATCCCCGTGTTGTCGTCGCCATTATGTCTGTGTGCGTTTTGTTCTCACCGAATGCACACTTGACAAATGTGACGCGGCCATCACTGGAGAGAAGAGTCGCCTCACGATTGCCTGTTCATCACACACACACACGCACACACACGCACACACACGCATCCACACCAGGAGATCCATCCATCCATTCACCCTGATCCCCGTGACAGACTCTCATGTCGCTCACCTCTGAAGCGCTCCCACTCCCACCCTCCATCGCCCAGCCGCAGCACAAACTTAAACTCGACGCTATGCACAGGGGCGGGCAGACAGACAAGTGCGCTGCGCCAGATGGGGTAGGCGCTGCCGTCCAGCGGCAGGGCCTTGGTGACGTCCCATTTGCCGAGCTCGTCGACGACACCGACGACGGACAGCTCGTCGCCCGGCCTGGTCCGCTCACAGTGACACTCGAACACGACCTCCTGGAACAAAGGCAACCAAGGGAGACGATTTATCCGTGTGTCCGTGGCTGCTTGAGGACTTACCGTGGTGCTGCCATCATGCTTTCCTACAGGCTGCTCCAGAGGCGCCTTCTCAACGAGCCTGAAGCCCTTGTGCACCTGCAGGCACATCAAGCATATCACACACGGGATCATTCAATCAGTGGATCTGTGGGTGCGGTGGATGCGGTTCTACTTACTGCATTTGATGCTCTGGTCTGGTGCGGCACCATCACAGTGAACTCCTCATTCCGGCCGCCCACCTCCCTCACAGACACTCTCAGCCCCTTGATGGACTCCTCAGTGCGATAGACGTCGGCCTTGACCCATTCCTGCCTGCCCTTCTCGCGCCCGTCCGTCACCATCCACACACGAGTGCCGGTCTGGCAGCGGTCGCGGGACGACGGCACCACCTGATGGATGGATGGATGAAACGGACAAACAAATCAAACAAATGAATGGGCGACTGAGGTACACGTACCGTACCTGTGGCTGCGGGAGGTCGGCAGCGGATGATGGTGACGCTGCAGCTGCCATGGCGCCGCGCCGGCCAAACACGCCTGCAGACAAGAGTGCAGAGGCGCACAGTGCCATCACAATGCCATCCCTCTAGCCATCCTTCTCCATCATGCTCACCGACTTGGATGTCAGTACGCGGCCCCTCAGTGGAGGCTTCTCATGGTCGCACAGCACTCACAGTGAAGCAGTGAGCGCCAAAGAAGATCTACAGCGACGCTATTTGCCATTTGACGTGGGCTCGCTCACAAGCTCGCAGAGCAGGGGAAGAAGAGGATTGAATCAATGGCCTTTGTGGTTTACATGTGAGAATGGTGAGGCGGGCAGCACTGCGGATCATCCTTTGCATCTCACAGACACGTCGAGCGCCACGCATACGACATCCGTCCATACCATACACATCATGCAGCACCAAGTGGGCCCCGTGGGTCCAGCACCACAGGCCGTCCCCTCCCTGCCTCCCCTCTGCTTGTCCTGTCAGCTGTCTGTCTACTCATCCATCCATCCATCCATCCAACCAGCCAGCCAGCCACCATGAGTCAGTCAGCCCCTCCCTCCCTCCCTCCCTCCCCTATTCACAGTAAGTCGGTCAGTATCTGATGTCGGCTACTCGTCCCCCATCGTCATGCTGCTGTCCTCTGCGCCCCTGGCCGTCTGCTCGCGACGTCGCCTCTGCGCCCGTCCACCGTCGGCCGCCGTATCGCCCTCTTCGCCATTGTCGCCAATTGATGCCGATAGTGCGACCGCCTTGCGCTTCTCGCCACGATTGCCACCACAACTGCCATCACCACCAGCTGCTGGGGCGGCCACATGGGGTGACGCCACGCCAACGTTGACCGAAGGGGCCCCAACCAAGTCAGCTGCACGCAGCACACCACACAGTGACGGACAGAGGACTCAACGACCATTGTGATGTCCGTGTGCGTCTGGCTGGCGTGTGTGTGTACCATTCTGTTGCGAAGGGGAGGCTATCGCCTCACCTGCAGCAGCCGATGACGAGGCGGTCGCAGCAGCAGCAGCAGCAGGACCTACACACAGCCACACATCCAATTGGATTCATTGCTTGTGTGTGTGCCGTCGCCCCTGCTTGCGCTTGCCTGCGGTCTGCCCGGCTCCCTGACCGCCACCAGCAGCAGCAGGGGGGAGAGCTATGGCCAGCTTGTTGCCGAACACCCTCTCTGCGTCAGCCCCCATCACCTGCCGCACCACCCTCACTGTCAGCGGAAACCTCGCGGCACCCTTCTCGCCCGCCACGGGACGCTCCGTCGTGTAGAGGTGGGCGCTGGCAATGCTGGCAAAGCTGTGGATGTAGAGGTGGGCCTCGAAGGCGTCCCCCCGCTGGTCGCCATGCAGCACTATCATGCGTCCGAAGGCTCCTCCTGCTGCAATGTGCTTGGTGCTGATGATGTGGCGGTCCCATAGGGGCGGCGGCTGAGTGGCGAGGATCCGCTGAAGAGAAAAGGAGATGACAAGGAGTGAGTGGGACAGCTGGTGAGGCAATCGGGTGTGCGCAGGGGGATGACTGACGAGTCGGTCGCACCGTGGGGGATTAATGTGCCGGGGCGCATACTGCTCCACGACCCGCCGCCCTCCATACTGCATCCTGATCAGACACACCATGGCAGAGCGGTGCAGCCAACGTGGCGATGTGTGTGCATTCTCCTCCTTTTGTTACTTATCCAACCACACGGCATCGCGGACTGAAGCAAACTCCCAATCTGCACACACACATATACGCAACCAAATGATGATCCCTCATCCCCCTCCCGCGCCTCCCTCCCCTCCCTCCCTCACCGTCATACTCACACACGGGGTTGTTCGGGTCGAATCCATCGCGGAAGGGGCTGTCGGCCGGCAGCGTCTGCAGTGTGCGGATCGTCAGCGGCTCTCCGTTCAACAGCTCCACGCCATTGTTGTGGCGCTCGAGCGTCACGCCGAGGTGGCGCTGGATGAGTGAGAGCTGGCGCAGCGCCTCACACTGGTTGTCGAAGAGTGCCCGGCTGCCCACCCCCTCCACATCAGCACTGCTAAGCTCTATCGGCAACTGTTCCACCTGCCGCTGATGCTTGGCCACCCTGATGATGGGCACCGTCGCCGCCCACTCGCCGCTGTGGTCGATGAAGTACGCCAGCTGCAGCAGCAGGTCGATGGACGTCAGATCAGGGGAGAGGGCGATGATCCCTTTGAGGCCCTTGGCGACGAACTGGGCGTCGATATGCTCCTTGACCTTCTGGAGCACAGCGCTGGTGATGTCTTCTCGGTTCGGGCCGTTGTTAATCTGTGTGAGGAGTGCTTGTCTGGTGTGCACCGAGTGGGCGGCTTTGCTGATCACCAGGGACCGCAGTCGCAGTCGTGGAGGGGTGGCGGGGCGGCCGTGGCCCAAGGATGCCAGCATTGCCTGACGGATGAACCGAACCGACAAGAGAGCGAGAGAGCCGCCGTCATGCGTGGCACATGATCTATGTGTATGTGTGTGTGTGTGTCCTTCATTCACCAGTGGCTGCGGCAAGTCGGCTACATCACCAGCAGCCGCCGTGGCTTGGTCGAATTAGAACGCCTGAAGACAACAAGACCAGATGCAGACAGAGGCATCAGTCGTCCACTTCACTCCTGACCTCCATCCAGCCATTCTTCTCATCTCACTGCTCACCAATGGATGGCAGTGTGGCCTCTCACCTGAGGCTTTCAATCGATGCAGGCGGGTCTGCCACCTGCTCTGGCGCCCAGTGAACATTGTGCGCCAAAGATGGTGGAGAGACGAAACTGCTGTTGGAGCCGATTCGCTGAGCTCGCAATACCCAAATCCCAAACCCCAGAAGGACAAAAAACAAATGGGTTATGGCGTATTTGGTTTCCCAAGTGTTGGGATCTGGATCAGCTAGGAAGAAGGTCCACAGATCTTCACAACGGGCGCTTGCAAACCTCGCCTGTGGATGCGGTGAATGTGTGTGCTGGTTTGGCAGATACGTGTGCCGAGGAGTCTTCCGAGTCCGTCGAGCAGCGCCGCACACAGACAGGCCAGGTGGATGACGCATGAGTGCAGAGATCTGGTCTTGACTCACGGATGCAATTCTCATTCATCTACTTTTTTCTCTGTCATGTGTGGTGGGCAGGTGTCTGCCACTGTGTGGTGTCTTTCACTTTGACGACTGGGAGCCCTGAGGGATGAGTTAGAGGATGCTCAGATGTGGAAGCAGCTGAGAAGCGCTGCCGGTGCAGTAGGTCTAGTGGAGGTAGACAGCGGTGACGACGCGGCTGCCTCTGCAGGTCACCACACCACCATCACACCCATGCCTGATGTGGTTGGCCATCCTGATCTTTGTGAAATGTTGCTGGTGCTGCTGCAGTTGGGCAGGGCGGTCTGGCGAGCGGCGGTGGCAGCCCTCGTGATCTTCTGCAGAAGATACGTTCGATGCGCTCGGTGAGGGGCGGAGAGGGCGCCATACGCACTGCTGGCAGGAGTCACATTTGGTGTCTTGGTTGTGGCTTGCAGGTTGTGCCTCAGTTTGTGTCTGACCTTGAGCGGGCAGAGCACATCATAGCCACACTTGCCGACAACGCACAGGTCCACATGCAGACCACACAGCCAGCCGAACAGCGGCACTCACTTGTTACCCACTGTTCTGTCTGTGCCTGCAGGATAGTGCATCGCTGCCTGGCCGTCTGTCGATCGTTTTGGATGCTCTCACCGACGCTCACTCGGCCTTGACCAAGGAGCTGTCAGAGACGTCGACTGACCACAAAACCCACAAGACACCTGTACGATTGGGATCGGCTCACACGCCGATCATTCCCAGTCTGTCTGTGTGTCTGTCTGTCTGTCTATCCATGTCAGCCCAATGTGGCTGACTTTAGGGCGTTCGTGTCTGAGGGGCTGGCTCGTGCCGATGAGGTCGCACAGCACAGCAAGGCGGTACGCACAAACTCACAAACAGGCCGACGCACACGCATGAGGTGGTGGACAAGCGTGACGTCATGTGTTCAGGTGGCTGTCGGTGATGCGAAGCGTGAACAGGTGGACAGTCTGGCTGCTGCTGCTGCTGCTGCTGCGGTTGGAGGTACCCCCCTCCCACACGCACTGATGGGCTGCAGACGCTTGACAATGCGCGTGTGTGGCTGTGTTGTGTGGTGCCTTCAGGTGGGTCGATGGCTGTGTGCGGTGCTGCAGCAGCGACACGAAAGCCGATGAACAAGCCAAAGGTGACACAGAGAAATGACAGCCACCATCACTGCTTTCCTCAGTGTGTATCTGTCTGTGCATGTGTGCATCAGAGATACGGCCGTCCGAGTCTGTGTGGTCTGCCTGAGGACGTCTTCAGCCACATGGGCTCCCTCATGACCACCAAGATGTCAGCTTGTCTGGCCAAGGTCAACAAGGACATCCGCACGATGGCCATCGACGAGACTTCCGGCCTCTTCCGCGAATTCACTGTGACTGAAGACGAGGAGGACAGCTACAGCAAGGTAGAGGACGTGAACAAGGAGATGCAGCACATGGTGAGAGGGAGGGCTGGGGTGGGCACATGTTTGACACACACACACACACACAGATGGTGAGATGCGACCTCGTCTGTGTGTGTGTGTGTGTGCAGGACAAGATGAAGACTGCGTCTGTGTGGGCGTCTGACGTGGAATCGCGTGTCGTGTTGTCGGAGTACCTGGAGTCATGCAGGACGACACTCGAGAGCCTCACGCTGGACGTCCGCGGCTGTGCAAAGGAGGTTGACGCGTCTGACTGCGACGTCGCATTCCTCAAGTTGACTTTTCTCCACCCCCACAACAGTGACACCATCAGACACATCAGGTGTGTATGTCCAAAGGCAAGTGGGGCTGACGGGGGGGCGGCATCCACTGCTGCCTATGATTGACATGTGCTCATGTGTTCATCTGCAGGAGACGTCGGTGGATCTTCCCGGCCCTGACCACACTCCGGGTCGGCCGCATCTACAGCGACGAGGATGCCGCCTCCTTGGTTCGTCTGCTCCACGAATCACCCAAGATCGAGCGTCTGGAGGGCGACCGCATCGGACTCGACTATCGCCAGTGGGCCGACTTCACCGCCGCCCTGGGTCGCTGCCCATACCTCACCACCATCACCGGCCTGGAGATTGACATCCCCAGCCAGTTTGGCCGCCTCAATAGGCTCAAAGACGCCCTCAGAACGCACTGGAGCAGCACACCAGAGAAAAGGGGTACGCAAAGCACGAGCATCCACAGCAGTACTATCTCTAGCACAGCACTCATCTCCTCTGTGTCCCTGCTCACTGCAGGTGTCCGCAAGAAGCTGGAGTTCGTCACTCCGCATCTGTCGATCGGTGTGGACTACCGCCAGCGGAGGATACGCATGGCGGACGTGGAGGCCTTCAGAAAGTGGGCCGTGGACGTCGGCTGTGAGCTCGAGTGGGAGCTGGGCGGATACGGCTGGGTGACCCTCGACTGCAGCAGCGGCGCTGCCACTGTCCTCCCTGCACCAGGCGGCCTCTACGGAGATATCGCCACGCGACTGGCAGCCAATGCGACCATTGTAAGGAGCGCACAGACAAAGCAGGGAGGGAGGGAGTGCATCAGACAGGGCCAAATGTCTGTGTCTGCATTCGCTCAGGTTGTCTTGGATCTGGGCGGCGCCCCGCTCCACGAGTCGTGGCGTCACAAGCTCATCTGCCACAACGCCACGACACTCGAGATCGACATCAAGCGTGGCGCAAGCGCATCAGAGGTGGTCGACAGCATCCCCACATGGCTGAGCGAGAGGAAGGGAGATGGGCAGGGGGCGACCAGCCGATGCTTCCCCGCTGTCGAGCAATTGACGGTGCGGTCTTCTTCGCTGTTCTTGGCTGAGCTGCGTGCCGCCAGCAGCAAGCTGAGGCCGTTTCTGGGCCGGCTGACGACACTCAAGCGTGTCGATCTCGATGGTGTGTCTAGCTTCGCTGCCGCGAGTGAGCCTCTCTCCTATTTCGCTGTGGGGGAGCTAGATGAGGTCGAGTGTTGTGAGCCGATTGGGTGTGTGGTGTGCGAGAGGCCGGCGGATGCTTCTGGCACATTGGGTGACCGGTGCCCTCGCATCCATCGCCTGACCTCTTCACACCTACGCAGCAAGGCAGGCGTGGCAGAGTTCATCAAGCTAGCTTTGGCTGTGCGACCAGTGAGTGTCGAGTTGGTTGCTGTGTTGGATGAGAGTGAGCTGGAGGGAAAGAGGAAGGCCACAAAGCTGGCCGACCTCCGCTCGTTTGCGGATGAGTGCGCCATGCGGGTCACACCACACTACACTGTTGAAAAGAGTGAGTGTGAGCTGGTGGGGTGGAAGAAATATTGCCTTGGGATTAAGCACACATGACGGCCGAGATCAGGGGATGAGGGGCAGCAGGCACACAGCATCTGCAATTTTTATACATGGTCGTCTTGGCGGATGGATGAATGCTCGTCCGTCCGGCTGATGTGCGTGTCTTTCCTAGCTATCTGCAGCCTCACGTATCTATCGTCTGTTTTCTCACGGCCATACCTATGGCGTTACATACCTGCCTCCCCTCTGTCTGCTGCTACCTGCCGCTGCCTTTCCCCTCACCCGACCGACCAGCCACAGAGTCCATCCATACACTCACTGGTGTGTCGGTGGTCGTCGGTCGAGTGAGGGCGGGCAGAAGGCAAGCTTGGACGCGACAACAGCACATGGCATCCATGGATGGATGAAGTGTATGTCCACGAGGCAGGCTGGCTGACTCACTCACTCACTCACTGAGATGTGGGCAGTGAGTGACTGCGGGGGGATGGATGGATGGTTGGACATGGCACTGGATGGATGGACGGTGACTCCATGGCAATGAAAACGCCATCGTATTGGATTCGTTGGCATCGATATATATGAGTCTCTATGTACATACAGTACACAGACACACACACATGGCCATCGAGGCCTCATCGATGGCCCAATGGCACCCAACACAGGCCCCCAGTACACCCGCCTCCAGTTCATACAAGCCTACCGCCTCTACAAGCAGCAGCAGCAGCAGCAGGAGGAGGAGGTGGCGGGCGCAAGAGGCCAGAGGATCACCAACACCAACATCCGCCGCCGCCAGCACATCTACTACCAGGCCTCAGAGATGTGGGCTGAGGGCAAGGACGAGGGCGAGATACGGGGATCACTCATGGCCCAGCTGGGTGGCACGATGGATGTTGACGAGGCACGCACACTCGTCACTCGTCGACAGTGCCATCAAGAACGCCATGAAAGGCGGCCAGTAGCTTGGGAGTAAGGGTGGGAGGGAGGGAGGGCGGGTATGACTATCTTATTATTCATCGATGCATATACATACGTTGGTGGTCTGCTGGCAATGAGTCGCGCACTCACGACAGATGAGTGAGCCACACACAGCCGGCTCATTCATCAGTCGTCTGTGCACCTCTTCTGCTGCCAGTGAGCGGCCATCGAGTGCGGCTGGCTGGGTGTGTATATACAGACAGACAACAAAGGGCGCGTGGCGTGTGGGCAGATTACCTCGCCCTTTTTCTCTCCGAATGGCTGTGTGTATACATACATGTGCAATAGGCGGGCGTCTCTCTACTCGGTTTATGACCTTCCACTCTAAGCTGTCTGTCTGTCTGTCTGTCTGTGCAGGGTAGGGATGGGGGACGGGGGTGTTCATAATGATAGCAGCTTGTATGCGCGAATGAATGCACACACATCGTGTGTGTGAGCTCGAGATGAAGACAGTCAGTCGTCACGACATCCCGTTCGCAAATCAACACACACACAGACAAACTAACTACACTGAATCGGCCTGTGTGGAGCTTGTCGTTGATAATATGAGCTGAGTGGACGCCCGAGAAGGCGATGGCAAGGACGGCGACAAACACTCCCAAAGAAAGCGTCATGGTGGAGTGGAACGCGACGGCGACAAGAAAGCTGTTGGCGCAGAGAGACCAGGTGAGCTTACACAGAAACACAGAGACTCGGGCACACATGCACCAGCCAGCCGATCAGTCAGTCTACAGCTCCAACTCATCGCCGAACACCACCTGTGCGTCGTCCCCCATCACCTGCTCCACCACCCTCACTGTCTCGGGGAATCTCGCCGCACCCTCCTCGCCGCCCACGGGACGCTCCGACGTGTCGATGCGGGCGACGGCTGGCAGCCAAAGAGCTGCACAGACGACCGATGAGTGAGCCTGTGGTGTGTGGCTCACAAACCGGGGGGTCTGTGTGTGCATGCTTCAGCTACTGCTAATGGACGGCGTCAAAACCCACCACCACCAGCCATGCATGCATTTGCGTATCATGCAGTGAGTGGCCACTAACCTCTCTCTCCACTAACCTCTCTCCTCGTTCTCTTAGCGTTAATTTACGAACCTCCCACCGCGTACACTCTTTAGCGTTAGCGCTAAAAGGCTTCAGCGGCGGAGCCGCCCAGATCCAACCACAGATCCATCCGTCCATCCTCCCCCTCCATCCTCCCCTCCCCTCCACTTGCCCCCCATTCTCACTCGCTGCGCCAACAGCTTTCTTGTCGCCGTCGCCTTCCACTCCACCATGACGCTTTCTTTGGGAGTGTTCGTCGCCGTCCTTGCTATCACCTTCTCGGGCGTTCACTCAGCTCCAGCTCAAATTATTGACAAAGACCTCCAAGTCGAGGGGTCCATCCAGGTGAGATCGCTGTGCTGTTCTCGCTCATTCAGCGGCAGTGCGTTTGTTTCCTTGGCCTTACTTACAGTCCTTGAAGGCCGATTCCATCGGCGAATATTGCCATTCGGGGCATTCGATCAAAAGCGGCGACATCTGTGCCAGGGGTGAGTGAGTGGGCCCTGATCCTATCATCAATAGCCATGCTGCGCGGCGGGCGTTGCCGTCGTCTGTTGCTGTCTGCGTCTGTCCACTGAATGTTGTGTGATGTGTGCAGATGACCTGATGGCGGCTGACAATTGTCTCGTAGAAAATGGCCTGTACGCTGGTCATGTTTTTGCGGAAAAAAGGTGCACTTGCGGCGATACCACTCACAGCAGATCCATGGTCGCGGGGACGTACCACATCGAGACGAGCGAATCTGCGGACATGTCAGCGCAGGACGCCGGCCAGCGGTCGGCAGCCATTGAGTTGATCAAGAGGCTGGAGATCAAGAGCGCCGGGCGGGTCTTGGGTCTGTCGGCCGCGGATGTGAAGCAGGTGCTTCGACGGATGTGTGTGTCGTTCAGCACATGTCGATGGAGCTTATGTGCGCGCGACATATGTCTGTGTGTGTCTGTGTGTGTGTGCGAACGGGCAGGTGGCACCCAACATGGTCAGCTCCATCGAGGTCGCTTCAGGGGAGGCAGAGAGCGAGGGCGAGCCGGATGAGCGGCCGGCTGTGGACATGACGCAGCTCCTCTACACGCAGCTCAGCGTGATCCAGGAGCTCATCAAGAAGGTCGAAGCGCTGGAAGAAGCTGCGACGAGGAGCAGGGGACTGAGGGCTCCGTGATTGTGATTGAAGCACAAGTCCTGCAGCTCGTGAGTGAGTGAAGCGGGAGGGGATATCGTGCGATGTGTATTTGTGCTGACAGACTGACCTGTGTGTATGGGAAGGCGACGGGTTTGCATACATTCATACGTTCATAGGGAAGACCCAAGAGGGCGAGGGATAAAGGCCAAGACAGACAGACAGACAGACTGACTGAATGCTGCTTACACCCCCTCCCCACTTTCTATTTGCTGTATTTTTTCACTCCCCCCGCTCGGGCAGGGGACGGACGTCGTCGGCATCCGGTGCATACACACACATACAGTGGGGACCGAGTAAGCAAGAGACTTCTCGGGGGGAACGACGACAGACAGACAGACAGACAGATGCGGAAACAGACAGGGACAGGGGGGTTCTATTCTGTGGACCTGCATGCCATGTGTGCGTGGAGGTGTGTGGGCGGCAACGCATCCATACGCCTCAAGATGCGACTCACCACCTACCTGCACTGTCTTGTTTTTGTTTTGTCGGGGCTTCTGACGGCAGGCAGCTTTTCTTTCTTCTGAGTCGATGGGGGCGTAGTTCGGTTCAGACACTTCCGTGCTGGGTGGGGAGCAATCGAGTGTGTGTGGGGGGGGGGGGGAGACATGCATATTACATGGATCAAGTAAATGACGCGCTTCGATTGTCAATCCAATCCAATCGCCCATTGTCCTGATGCCGCGCGCGACCACATCGATATGGTGACCGATTCGTCAGCATGTGTCTCAGTTTTGTATTTGGCGGCATTCGACGGACACGGCTTGTGGACGCGTCGAGGGCGTACTGACCGACTGACTCACTGTGTCTGAGTATGGCGGTCAATCCATAGAAGACGATATATCACATGGATCAGGAAAAGTCTGTATGCACACAGACACAAAACACATGGACGCGCAACACAACACGCACCATCGATGAACCAATGGCGCCCAGCACGCCCAGCCACCGTCTACCGCTCCACACACTGCCTCCGTCACTCACCGCCAATCCACCCCTCCGTCACTCGATGGCCTCGGTGCGATGGCTGGCGGCATCGTTGGTCGGTGCGGTGTCTCATTCATTCGCCGTCGCTCCCGTGTGAGCTGTCGGACGATCGACGAGTGCTCCGGGTGGTCGGATGGCGGCGGGGCGGCGCTGTGTGTCTGGGCGGCTCCGGCGGCGAACCATGGGTGGGCCAACGCATTGGACGCTGATCGAGGGCATTGCACACACAAACACATAAGCGGCGATCAACAAATGACCTGTGTGGCATTCTCCGGCCCGGCAAGCAGGTGGGTCGACCCTCCCTTAGTGAGTGAAGCAGTCACCCGTATACGCATGTTTATGTATGAGTGAGTGATCGAGGAGTACAGAGCCGCATCAGAGAGGAGCACAGCACACCACCATCGCCCATTCTCATCGTGTCTCGGTTGCTTATCGCGTGTCTCATTCATGTGACAAAGCAATCACCACATAAAGCAATCATTTCTGTCAAGCAATCAGCCCATTGGTGACTGTGATCACTCTGATCACAAGCAAAATGGACCGCATAAGCCAAGCAACTCACAAACAGACTCAAATCAGCCATTCGGGCCGACCACTCATGGCTCGAAATGACCGCAAGACACATGAAAGAGCGGACCGATGAAAGAGTGACTCCATGGAGAAATAGAGGCATTCTGATTGTCAGAAAATGAACCATTCTCGACGGCGATTTGCGACCGAATAGGCGAGTTTGCTTGCCGAGGTTGAGTCACGCTCTCACGCGAGGCAGCAAAGGCCCATTGGTGTCTCATAGGAGGGTCCGCTGAGTCATCTGAGGCATCTGATGACATTCATCCAGCCCACACCGAAGTCCGTTTCATGCTGAGAAAAAGTCCCTTTGCCAAGAAAGCGAATTGCGTGCATGCCAGTGCATGGTGCCACACCGGCAAGCTACTGTACCAGATGGCGTCAACAGATCTCGCTCTTTCATCTCATGACGTGTCCTCATTGCAATCGTAGGTGCTCTCAGCATCTGCGTGTCTCTTATGTTTCTTGTCTGTTAGTTACAAAAAGGACCCAACAACTCCCTCCCTCGCCGTGCATGCAGCCATCCCGTACGTTTTGCATCGTCCCTTCTTCCCTGTAATCGCACCATACGCCTACACGTACACACACATACCAATCACGCCATTGAGTGATGATCGCGAAAAATGCGCGGCAGAAAGACGCTTGAAACCACACACACACACACACACATGCACACGCATCGACACACACACGCTAGACACGTACGTGTGTTGATCTGTCTTGGGTAGGTGGTGTTGGTTTCATCATCCTTTGTCTCTGCGATGCGTCACGTTCAGAGTGTCAAGCCGAGGCGCTCGACATTCTGGCCGTGACAGACCGAAGGGCTAGGAACAATAAGCCACCACAACATGTTTTATGCCCTTTCGCCCTCTACATGTGCCATCGAAAAGTGCGCTCTCTCTCTTTCACCAGCCTCATGACCCTACCCACATGAGCATTATGCACACCCACACCCAGACACGCACGCGGATTCATGGAGCGTGTCCAATCCATCCCGTGGTCAACCGCGTCCGTGCGTGTACTCGACGGGCAAAACTTGACGCATACAGTGACGACACACACACACACACACACAAGGCAAATCACAGACAACAGCAGCACCAGCAACAGCAGCAGGAACAGCATGAGTTCATTCAGCAAAGCACAGAAAAGGGCAGCAGTAAGTGAATGAAACACACAACACGCGATGCGTACACACCGTACACACGAGAGCCGCCACGTTTCCATCGCACCAGAAAAATTGGCAGGAGGGGGGCTGGGCAATGGAGGGGCACTCTCAATGTGCAGCCAATCGTCCACATGCATTCGCACATACACGCACACACACACACACACAGAGAGAGAGACAGACATCTACCGTGCAGCGACCAAGGTGAAAGCAACCAGCAGGTGGACGGCGTCACAGAATGCGTGTGATGGTGAGTGAGAGTCGCATGGACAAGTGGCCTGACATGCAGATGAGTGGAAACAAACAAGGGAAAATGACCATGAAAACGAAACGAAAGAAAAGCACATCGGCAAAACGCCGCATGAGACAGACACCATGTGCACCGCAACCCACATCTAGAGCAGGAAGCCTTCCTTCTCCTCCAGGGCAAGAAACGCCTCACCTGCACCAACCAACCGACGACAACGAACACCAACACAACGAACGCATCGCATCAACATAGCGCACACGCCATTGTTGCTGTGTTTCCTTTCCCATACGTTTCTTGGCGATCTTGGTCTGGCACGCGACGCAGTCGAGATACGAGTCGTGTGGTGGCTCCACCGGGACGCTCACCGCCCTCCCCTCCAGCACCTCAGGGGCGATGGACAGAGGCAGCGGCTCACTCGTGGACGCCAACGCGCTGACGAGGCCGCACCACACGATGCTGCCCCTGTCGCGTCTCTGACGGCCGGTGTCGGCCAGGAGTGACGGCTGGCGGGAGGGGGGGCAGTCGGTGGCAGCTGAGGATGACGAGTGGTCGTGTGTGGAGAGGAGCGAGACCTTCTCGTCCTGCTCGTCGTCGCACTCAGCGTGGTCTGGCACCGTGGTGTGGGAGATGGTGCTGCCAGGAGACACAGATGGATGAACAGGACGTGTTTGGGTGGGCAGGTGTCGCTTTCTCTCTGTTGTGTTTTGTGTGCGCGGCTTACAGTGCCTGTCCGAGTCGGTCCATGGTTGGCTCCACACGCGCCGGGTTCATGATAAACTGACGAACGAACCTGCAGAGCAGCACCACACACACGCACAACCAACCACCCCCACGTGTGTCCATGAGCAAGTGCATCCATCCATCCATGTGTGCTGTTGTGTGTTGGCTCAGCTGACCAGTCGAGTCCCATGGCCTCCGACACAGGATCGAGCGCTTTGAGCCCGGAGAGCCTCAGCCTCGCCGCCCAGCGGCGACACACACCCTTCAGCCTGGCGCTCACACCCAGAGCAATGTCCTCAGTCGTCGCATTCTCTCCCCAACTGCACACACACATACATCCGGAAAGGCGTCAACTGATGAATTCATGCAGACAGTCATTCATGCAGACAGTCACTGGCGCACCCATTGGTGTTGAAGGCCGAGTCGTGGATGGTGACATAGTCGGCCGCCCGGTCGTCCTCCCTGACGTCGACCTCCATCTCGCCATGCCATTGGTCGCTGTCCCACATCTCGTGGAGAGGCTCCAGCTTGGTGAAGCGACGCAGCCGCTCCTTTTGGCAGTCGTCCTGGTCCGCCGGGAGCGTGATGCACCTGTTGCCCTCACCCTCTTTCTCGCGCTCCCACGTGATGGTCAGGTCGCTGGTCGGGCCGGCACACTTGACGTACTTGTACTCCTGCATATTGAATACAGAGAAGATCACATGTTCGTGTGTATCAGCGGGGGGGGGGGGGGGGGGTTTTTTCCCC